TATGGCCCGTGTGGTATAGCCCGTGACTCAAGCACAGGTACACTTTATATAGCCGATACATACAATCATCGAATAATGCAATATCTTTTGAATGCTTCTTCGGGTACAGTAGTTGCTGGTGGAAATGGTGCAGGACCTGGTATTACACAACTGGCGTATCCATATGGTTTTACTTTTGATTCGTCCTCAAATAGTCTTTTAATTGCTAATGCTCAAACCAATAATATTGTCCGTTGGGTGTTAGGTGCAAGTAGCTGGACACTCGTCATTGGCAGTCCTACTGGATCAAGTGGTAGCACATCGACACTTATCAATCAACCGATCGGCATCACATTAGATCCAATAGGCAATATCTATGTAGTTGATTCAGACAATCATCGCATTCAGTTCTTCGTTGCAGGCCAATCGAACGGCACAACAATCGCTGGCGTTACAGGTTCACCTGGCACGAGCCAGAATCAATTAAATTATCCCTGTTGGGTAATAGTTGATAATCAACTGAATTTATATGTATCCGATACTTCTAACAATCGGGTTCAATTTTTTTCACATTCATAAATATGAGTTTCATTCTTTATTACACATCACTCTAAATTTAAAAAATACACCTTTTATTCTTTAATTACTTCTGCATAACTTGAATACTTCATATGTGCCATTTCTTTATCATTTCAAATAAACTTAAATTCTTTTATTATAATCAAGTGAATATATTTTAATGATGAATCTAATACAATCGTTCACTCTTTTTTTTATATATCATATTTTCTAACTCGATACTGGCTTTACTCAATCTTGAAGGCAATGAAATAAAAGAAGCCTAAAATTTATTGACTTGTTTAATAATCGGTAAGATGAACATTAGAGAATTATTCACAAACTTTCGTAAGAAAACGATCAATGAAACACTTTTAACAATGGTAATTTGTACAAATCATTTCATTTTCTAGATACACACAAAGTTAAATAATCATAGTTTCAATCGTTTTTTAACAAAAGCTTTATTGCTTCATACCAAAAAATTTCTGAAACAAAAATCAATTAAACTATATATAGTCATCATGACTATAACATGTACAAACTTCAATCAAACAATTCCTACTTTGATAATACTTTTTTCATGGGGCTTTAAACTTTAATTAGTAAGCACAACAAAACAAAATGATTATAGCATGAATATTACATACCAATTCACAATTTAATTGGACAATAATTAAAAAAAATCGAGAAGCTGTAAATTTATGTTGAGAAAATAAAAGTATTCCTATGCTCAAATTCACACACTACTCCTGTAAACTAGGGTGTGGGCGTGGGTATAATAAAGACAATATTCCCACACCCTCATACTGGAGAGATTTTGAAAATATTAACGATAATAGGAGAAGACAAAAAAATATGAAAATAAAAGAAGTATCAATAATCACACTTTAAGAATGTCAATGAGTTATTTGAGATAGTCTTTTAAAAATTTTGTCTGCTACTTTATCCCAAGTATAATATTCTGCATGTTTTCGACATGTTTGAGATTTTCTTTTAAGTTCTGTTCGATTAGTATATGCTTGATACATATTTTGTGATAATGATTGAATGTTCGGTTCTGCCCATATTGGTTGTATTGCAGTTTTTGATCCAAACACACTCATTTTTCCGCAAGGATTTCTAAAACATTCGGTGACTTTTGCATCTATATAATAAGCACATTCATCTGGACAAAAGTCTAATGCAGGACCATATTTTGTGACAATAGGCGGTAATCCTGCAGCCATAGCTTCAAGTGTTGAT